AGCAAGCGGGACTGGCCTAGGGGATTTTATAGGGGTTTTAATTACTTTTAAATTTGACATTCTCAAATATTTCATTTTAATCAAATTTTAACTAGGTGTAATATGTTAGCTTTTTATCATTTGTCAGCCGCCCTGAGTCCGAAAGGAGAAGGGCGGGATATAAATACAATTAATAAATAAATAAATAAATAAATAAAATGGGCTCTAGATAGCAAATAGTTGACAGAATGAAGGATGTATTAGCCTTCATTTGTATGTATTATTTTAAATAATACCTCCTTCTCAGTCCCAAAGAAACCAACCTTACTTCTGACTTTAAGCTAGTGATCCCTTCCAGTTTTTCTTTGGAAATATTCAAGGAGGGAGCTAAACTGCATTAAAACAAAAAACAAAGGTGTAGGTTGAGCCTAAGTACAAGGCAGCCCTGAACGAGAGCAAACAATAACAAGTGAAGCCCTTGCAGGTTGCTTTGGAAAGGAGTACAGACACAGTGAATACTGTTGAGTTCAGTTTTTAAAAAAATGGACCAGAATGGACCAGAAGTGGATTTGGAAGGACAGGGACTGACTGGAAGCCTCTTATAGACTTTTGGTGTAAAAATAAAAAATAAAAATTGAATTTGTGGTTCATGGCTGATGATTAGACAGCATAGATTATAGAAAGAATATTGTGATATAACTTGAAAGGTTAAAATATAATTATACTTCTAACTATGGTGAAGAATATCAGAAGCCATTTCTTTGTATTTTTTTTCCTTCTATTTTTCAACTTTTTTCTTTTTCTTGGCTTTTTTCTTTTTTCTTTACTTCATATTATTTTTATCTTTTTAAAAAAGCGTCAGTAAAAAATCATACAAAAGAATTATAAAAAGAAAAAAGTGAAGGTTTAAGTTATATTAGGAACTGCTAGTCCAAGAACTCAGTAAAGTTGTTCCATATATTGTATTACATCTTGTGGCTTTGCATCTTAGACTTTACAAGCATGCGTGGAGAGTGAATAAGTACTAGATATTCTACAGAAAGTAAATCACCATTTACAGATGTTTAATAAGAGACATGTTTTCAGCGTTTCAAAATTTCTTGAAAGTCATGATATATGGTAAATTCAAGGCCCTGAAAAATTTATCTTGTTTTAGGTTAATGTATTGTAATGTACATTTAGGTAATGTAATGTATTGATATAAATTTTGTTTTCTAAGAAACTGGGATTAGGATAAGAGAAGAGAAAGTTTGCTTGAATGGAAGGGGTACAGAGGAAGATGGCGGACAGCCAGAAAGAATCTGGGTCCAAGGAAATTACTAAGATAGCAAATGATTATGGCAATGAAGATGTTAAGGAACACAGGGACCCAGGTTTTTGCCTACCCTCAGCTAAGAGAGTATACTGGGTTACTTTAGGGCTGTGTGTCTGTCCCTGTCTCACACACACCCCAGGATTGTTGTGGTATGAAAAGTAGGAGGGCAGTTATGCATGCCACCTTGAACTCCTGATTGAAAGAATGGGTTCAAAACTAATAAATCAATCCTTGGGAAAAGAGCAATTCCCTAGAATTGGCAGATATGAAGAAAAGGAAAGGAAAAGGAAATGTGCATGATCCCAGAGGAATTGGCCATAAAACTTCCTTATTGACCAAAATGTGTTAAATCTAAAGGATGGCCTGACCACCTACTATAACTATACTACTGCAGAAAGACTCAGCAACATTTACATGCAACAGAACCTCACAGATATGTAATGTTTATTCTATATTTATTCTACAAAATGAAAAGTGCAAGTCTTTTCTGGCTCTGAAGATATATCTTTTGACAATTCTGTTCATCTCCAGTTCCCCCTCTTCCCCCCCCTCTAGAAATGAGGGGAGCTGCTTGGAGTTGAGCTTTTACCATGGTCAGAGATGCTCTTCTCTACTGCTTCAGACATACTAAGGCTTTCATTCAAACTTGGAAATCCAAATGGCTGGGGGATCTAAGAAAGCCCCAAGCATTCCAGGAAGCTATGAGTTCAGCAAAATCTTGTATACCAAACCTTGAGTATGGGGAAGCTCTACTTTAATCCACTCCTTTAATGACCCTTACCTTTCAGAAAACCCAGCCATCAAACATGCCACTGTGAATGATGCTATCCCTTCCACGAAACAGCAGAGAATTTTGATAGCTGGATAGTTAACAAATAGATAACAGGAAAATACAACAAATCAGGGTTCAAATACAGAGATGCAGGAAGAGGATGTGATGAAAATGAAATGCAGGCCAACTAATACCCTTTATAGTTTGTCTTGTTTTCTCTGCCAGAGAATGCCAGAACCTGTTCTTGAGGAATACCTAAGAAATGATCATAATTATTATGCAGGCTAGGACCTATTTCTGACTTCCTCAACTACCCCACTGGTTGCCCTTTTCTTGGCATTTCCTTCATAAGAGCTAGATAACCAACCCTCCACTTACGGCAGGAGGTGGAGGCAATGGCAGAGGGTCCGATGCAGTTGTGCCCTGCTCAGGGAAGATGCGCAGGCTGTGATCCAGGGCAGTTGGAGATGGGTACTCAGATGGGGTGCTGTGGAGATGGTATTGTGGAGGGAGCCGGGCCTGGGGTGGCGGCGGTGGGTACTGAGCTGGAAATGTCTGTGTCATGGCATCAGTAGGTGGGACTGCAGCATCTGGACTACCCTGGAGGAATAAAAATCAAAAGAAAATGAAATTGACCACTGCCACAACCTGCGAGTCAAGAGAAGCAAAGGAACCATTTTCTGAAGCAGACTCTTGAGAATAAAATATAAAATCCTCATATCCACTAAGGCTCTTCCCTCTGCGCTCAAACTGCCCAGGAAATTTTTTGTATATACATCTGACACTGTGTGTGAGAGAGAGAGGGGAGGGGGAGGGAGAGGGAGAGAGAGAATCTCAAATTCTTTCAAAACCAATTCTGTCCTCTCCTACAACTTTTGTTATAGAGCTGAAGAGATAAGGGTAACCCATTTCAATAGCCACACAACAAATATAATCATGAAGCACAGTAGAGAACTCCAATGTCTGTGAATGTATATGTGTATACACCCAGAGAATATATCCAAACAATGCATACAAACTACTAAGCCAGCATGTGCACTTCAAATCCTGACTAGCTATAAAAATGGCAAGTGAAATAAAATGTCCTTACCCTCAATAATGAAAAAAGCCTTACATTCATTCTAATTCTGATGATAACAAGCATCTGGTCGTATAACTAGGGCGCCTGAGAAACAGAGCAGAAGGATCCTAGCTAATGCACTCTCCTCTCTCCTTAGTTTTGCTATCCCATGCGACCAATTGCTTCCCCTTCTATTCCCTCCCCCACGAGAAAAACCAAGGGTCCCAGCTTCCAAAACCTAGGCGGAGGGCAGAGGGAAAATTCTGAAAAGTTTTTAGTATTTCACCCACCTACACCAACAGGCCCCATCCCTTGCCACCTCTGCTGCGAATCGCTGCCACGCAGAGAAGGATGCTTGGAGTAAAACACCCACCTATCCACACGTCCCTTCCTCAGCCTATGCTCCACGACTATAAAGGTATCCCTTGTGTCTTTCTCTCAGCCAATGAGCATGAACCTCGGCGCGCACGCGTTCTCGGATTGGCTGCTCTCTTATCAGTTCTCCCGCCCACGCTCTCTCTGCTCTTCTTTGGAGCTGCTGTGTCGGCTCTTTGTCTTTCAGCTGTTTGAAGAAAAGCGCGGGGGGTGGGGTGGATTTTTTTTTTTTTTAAACCAGATCTGATTAAGGCGGCCGCCGACAGCTGCAGGTTTTTCTTGGAATTTGCAATTTGTCCTGCGGTGGCTTAGCACCTGTCCCACCTGTCCAAAGGCAGGCGTGGGGATTAATGGGAGCCTGATTTGGGAAAATGCAAAACAGAGATATTTTTAGGATTTGAATTGATGCCTCAAACAAAAGCAGGCGAAATTGTTTTGCTCAAGACATCTTTTCAAGGCCAGAGTAATTAATCCAGTAATTGCTGGATGTTTTGGTCAGCAGATCCCAACATAATTGAATCTGGCAATTACAGTAAAATGGGTCACCCTATGATCAGATCCAATTTTTGGATCGTTTTGGTATTGTTAAATAAATACTGTGGGCTTTAAGCAAACCCATTGTGAGCCATGGGGTGGTTTTTTTTCAGAAACAATGTCACATGACTTCGGGGTGCTGCAACCAACCATAAATAAGGGCCAGTTGATGAGCATCATTTTTTTTTCATTTTTTTGGTGCTCATCAACTGGCCCTTATTTATGGTTGTTTGCAGCACTCTGAGGTCATGTGACATTTAGTTTCTGGATGTCATGTGATCGCAGAGTGATGATAATATCAGAACTTTGAAACTGGGTTGTAAGTAGTTTTTCAGAGATCTGTTATAACTTTGAATGATTGTTATTCATTTGGTCATAAATTGAGATTACCTGTAGAGGGAAATAGCTTGTATACTCATGGCTTACATGAATAATTTTAAGTAAAAGTGCAGATTGTAGCACTTTGACCATTAAAATTCCATTTGTTTTCAGTATTATATGGTCATCTCACGAAGCATCCAGCGTTTTAACTACATGTTGATGCTGAGGTTCACCTTGATCAGTGCTCCAACAATTTCAAGAACTCACACTGCCATTAATACATGCAACCACATATAGCCTGAATTTCAGGCTGTGACTACCAAGTGGATTTTACCCCTCTTCTAAAAAAAACCTGATGCTTGAAGAGGACTGATGAAAAAAAGTAATTAAAAATTGCTGTACCATATTGAATATGATTTTTCAGAGTCTACTTCCTACAGATTTTTTTGTCAAAAATAGAAACAGATTGGAAAGATAGATACAAGAAAATATCAGAAGAATATGAAGAAATTAAAAGTCTAGTTGTTTTTTTATAATTAGTAAATGTGTCCTGGGTTGGCATAATTGAATGCTAAGAGGAAATGTCTTCTTATAAGAAAAATAAGTGGCAGGAATAACGATTTTAATTTTGCACAAATCTTTAGAATCTTGATTTGGGGTTAAATTTAACCTCATCATATTTAATTGACTGAGTTGATTTATTTTTTTATTTTTTTTATTTTACAAGTTACTAACCTCCACTTCTCCTCCCTAACTTACTTAAGTGCATTATGAGAATAGGACTTATGGGTAATAGTTTCTGTCCCCTTCAAAGATTTATTCCATTTGTGAAATCTCACCTGTTCCCTGAAGAGCCAGACAATACAACGATGAGTACAAACACATATGGTTACATGTACAAGTTTACAAAAATAAGATCAAATCAGATTTTATTAAACAGATGTAGAAAGAGTTATTTGTGAGCTCTGTCGCTGTGTTCAGCAAAGCACAACTGATGTTTTAGCAAGTTGTGTAAACTTTACCAATATTTACTTATTCATTCATTTAATATACTGCTGTAAACAGCAGATTCTACACAGCATATAACAATAAAACAGTAGATAAAACTCAGACTAATAGAACAGTAACTCATATGATACTCATTCATCTTCCCCCACACTCACCCCAACAAACCCCTTCTCTGTAAATAGGATCCATTTTCACTTGTTTCATAGGTAATTAGATACCTATTAACTTGGCCTCCAGAATCAAAGACAGAAACTTGACAGAATCAAAGTGTAAACTTGTAATGAGGTCATATAATTTACTGTGATGTGTGAAACCAGACATTAAGATTTATGTCAGTATTTATGACTTAGCACCATGTATGACACTGCAAATCTAGCCAATTGTCACTAAGTGAACAAGTCATAGGTAAACTTTAGTTTAAATATTGTATGAGCTCAATCATTAATTGATATTGTTTGAAAGAAAATGCATTTTTGTTTTGGTACTATAACATATAAATAGATATTGTTAATTTTTTGAACATGGTAATTTCATAGGATCAAAGAATTGTTTTACAGAAATAGTCCAGTGTTATATCCAGATTTTATTCCATACTGTTCAAAGTGGAGCAAAACAAAAAGAAATGGGCATATAAATATGCACATACAAAATGGGAAGGGTTTGGACATAGAAATGATTTGACCATCTTGCTTTGATTTCCTGCCCCTGCCTTGATGCTGCTTTTATTTTATTTTACTTTTTAGAAAAATACTTGCAATGAAACAAGATAAGCTGAAAGTTGTTTTAGAGTAGTAAACCAGTAAGTTTCTAGTAAATGACTCACATGCCTGCTTAGTAGGACCACTTTATAATATCTCTCTTAGAAGTACCCACTTTCCACCTCCACATCAGTCTTCATCTATTTCTGTAACTGCAGAAGCCCAAGAGCTGACTTTGTTTCCAGATTTGTCCTTTGACCTAATATATAACTCTTCCCTCAAAAAAAAGCATGATATGAAAACATACCAATTTGCAAGCACAACTTTGTTAGTTTTCTATCCTGGACAAATACTTTACAATTTCATTCACCTAATGCCATACTGAGCAGAATAAGAATGTAACTAGTGCAAAAGAGTGTCTCAGAAAATCCATAACTTATGAAAAGGGATGTTGACAGTGGGTGAGTAAGCAAAATCAAAATGCGTGCATCACAAAAGGAGGTGGAGCTTCCATTGCATAGTTGCAACTGCCATCTTGTCTTTTCTTAACCTTCCCTGCAAATGTCCCTGCTTGAGAAAGAGATGACTTCAGTTTTACTCTCTGTTAATATGTAATAATATTTTTAAATCTACAGAAAGTAACAAATGCTATGAAACAGAAATTCTGACATAAAATTCAAACTGGCCAAGAGATGTACAAAGATTTTGTCAAAGCAACTGATTAATATTCAATATAATCAACATTCTTAATTTACAAGTGATGAATAGTTGAAGCTGAAAGTAAATTTCAGCAAAAGATCAACTCTGGTATCGCTTTTCTTTTCTTTCCTTCTTTTTTAAGCTTCAGTCTCATTTGCTTTAGGGAGATTTTTAAATATTAGCAGCACATTGCAAATGTCCAGAGAATGCTCACTAAATCGTAGTCTTACTGTGGAAAAAAATGGAAGAGCAATGTAAGCATTTTTCATTTCCATTTCTCTTGTGTCTGAATGAGCATATGGAAACTCAGTCCATAAACTCTAGAAACAGCTGTGTTGAGTGATCTACATGAGTGTTTTACTGTCAGTGTGACAATTGTTTCAAGCACAGCACACACAGTACACATCCAAACCTGTCTGCATGCTATTATCCCTCAAAACTGTGTTCCCTAGATGCTTTCACGATGGGGACTTTTGTGTAATTAAGCCTTCTACATATTGTGCAACATTAGAAGCAGATCACTGCTAGAGGAAGATTCTTCTACTTAAATTGACAGAGAAAATCATGGCTTCAAGATTTGAGAGAATTCTTTGTTTTATAAGTTGATTTTATTAGCTCTAGTTGTGAAATTGACTGCAACTTGGATAAAATGTCAAGTGGGGACAGCAGGATCATGGAAAACTCTGCTTTCTTCAAAGAAATGGTGATTAAGGAGGTTTTGATTTATTAAAAGAGAAAAATTATCTTAAATTCTCAGGAATAAATGAAAGATGGTTTGAAATCATGATGAATGACAGTCTATTGGATTAAAAAGCAAATGCTTAGCAGCTGAAGTAGCCAACTGCAGAGCTATTGGTTGTCCAAAACAAGTGTTTCTTTCTTGCCAGAGTTACAAACTGTAAACC